GTAGAAGACGAGTGTTCAAGGAATCTATTTATAAGCCGCTTGGGGTAGGGGTATTTTGGACTTATCTCTATACCGCGCATGTGTAGGTCGAGGTGGTTCGGATGGATATGGTAATCGTCGCACGATAATCGGGGATTGTACGATGAGTTGATGGCAAGTAATCATGATTTGGAAGAAGTATCGAATGCAGGATATTTTAATTACGAAAACGACAAGATTATCATGTTAAGATCTTGCCGATGGGTTATTGTTTTGGTATCTTAATCATAATCAAGGCAAGAGTGGTTGGCGATTATGCGATGTTTACTGAAGTGCGTGAATCAGGATTAGATTTGATTGGATTTGATAACAGATCAAGTTTTGGCTTGGAGAATGAGTTACGGTAATTGGGCGAAGGCAAATGTTATCTGGAGTAAATTTCGGAGCATTGATGGTTTTATACTCCGAAATTGGGGGGCATGTGTTGACACCGTTTTTGGCACGTGTCAAGATGATCGGAGTGGACTGATCGGCAAGGGGAAAGTTATCAGATACTCGATAACCGATGAAAGCCACTTTGTAAATATGGTGGCCGATAAATAGTGGTGGTGGTCGATGGAAAGGTTGATTTAGACTCGGGCGTTGCCGATGAGGTTGGAGGTGTTATTGTCGATGCCGATGAAGGGAGGCTTGAGGCTTGAAGACTACTGCCGATGAAACAGGGAGTATGCCGATGAAGGAAGACTTGAAGACTACTGCCGATGAAACAGGGAGTATGCCGATGGGAAGGAGGACGGTGAGATTTCCATCGTAATTGAGGCGGACAGGGAAATAGATAGGAGTTGATTTCCTTTTCTATATTTGTTAGAGTATGACTCATGTAAGAGTCACGTGTTTCCTTAGATATAGGCTTGGTGTCCTAGTTGTGTTTGGTTGTGTCTCTTTAGATCAGGGTATAAATATGGAGCGAGGGGCAATGTAATAAAAAAAAGGGAATCAATATCAAAACCAAGTTTTACTCCTATTTACATCTACTTATTTTTCGGCGACTTCGTCAATTTGCATATTTTTCTTTTTACGAGTTCTCATTGATTCGGCGAGTTGCATTGTCTTAGTGCGACCTTCGGCGATTCTCGAGTTCCGCGTGAGTACCCCTTGGCCGTGACTTTCGGGCGTATCGCTGTTGTCAGGACCAAAGTGCTCGTATCTTCATCCTTGTCGATTAACAGGTCAAATCGACTGGCACGCTCTGGATATCGATTCGGGTATTAGCCCTTTGTGTTTGCAGATCCACTTTTGCATCAACACAAACTCAAGGAGCTCAAAACCTCTAAAAGGGAGCTTAGAGAAAAACATGATAAACTTGAGGAGATACACAATTAGCTCACCACTAGTTACAACTTGCTAAAAGAAGAGTACAGCAATCTCAAGATTAATCATGATAATCTTGTTCATTCTCATGAGTTATTGTCTAATGAGCCGCGTGATGCTACTAACAATGTTGTTAAGATTGATATAGTCACACCATGTGATGACTTGATTGTTGAGAGCATTGAGCAAGATTCTAGTAGCAAAGGCAAGAAAGTGGTTGAATCCGACAACTATGATGATTATGTCAAGCTCAAGAATCAAAATGAAAAGTTCAAGAAGGATCTTGAAAAGCTATCAACCACCAACACAATTGTGATAGAGAATCTTGACAATAATCATGATATGGCTCTTGAGAATGAGATGCTTAGAGAAGAGAACAAGAGACTCAAGATGGAGAAGAACCATGATGAACTTAGAGAAGAAAACAAGAAACTTAAGTTGGAGAAAGAGCATCTCAAGACCGGTTTGAGCAAGTTCATAAGAGGCCAATATCTTCAAAGTGAGCTACTAATGAACACCGTGATGAAGATGGATAGAAGTGGTATTGGGTTCTTGGCAAATCAAGAGAAGAAAGCTCAAGCTCAACATCAACAACTGAAAGCATCTAAGCCCCTAGTTGGGTTTCGATGATTAATGACGACACAAGATTACTGTGACTAACGTGTGTTTTGCAGAGGCAACTTGAGTTAGGTCATGGTAATGGTGATTGATTGGGCAATTATGGCTTTCATGCCCCTGTCAATGAAAATCATTTTGGTGTTCAAAGGATGGACGACAAGGTTAAGTACGGACTAGTTCTAAGTGTCGTTTGGCGTTGGAGAGACACTTAAAGTAGTTTAGGACTTTGTTTCTTTTCCTTTGGTCGTACTATTAAGGGGGGTATGAACTAGTAGCTGGACCAAGACGAGTCTAATGGTTTAGGTGTGGTGCACACTTGTCAAATAGCGCTAGGTACCTCAAGGACAACCCAAAGATCAGTTGAAGTCGATGTCGTTTTCAAAGTTGGTAAAATTTGAGGTGAATGGAGACTAGGATGATGACCGGACGCAAAGGTGCCGCGTCCGGTCAGTGTTAGCTTGCGCAGCTAGGGTGTGTTCATCGACCGAACACTGGACCGGACTCACATGTACTGCGTCCAGTCAGTATTAGCTCACGTTGCTAGGGTTTTCTTTTCGACCAGACGCTAAGGATGTTGTGACCTGACACACTAGAGGTAGCGTCCGATCAACAACAGTAAGCATCTAGAGAAGGAAATTTTTGACCGGATGTGTCTGATGGGTTTCGACCGGACACTAGTCAGAGTCCGGTCTTCGATAACTGGGCTAGTGTCATGTAGCCGTTGGCCACTGACCGGACGCGTCTGGTCACTTTGACCTGAGCGTCCGATCACCCCAAAATGTGCTGAGTTGGACCCCAACGAGTATGTTTTGAGGTGGAGAGTATAAATACCTCTCCTACTTGTCCAACTTAGCTCTCTTGCCCATATGTTTAGCTGAGAAACACCTTTGGAGTGCAAGGGAGAGCAAGAGCCTAGTGGGGTGATTGAGATTTGATAATCCAAGATTAAGGACCTCATTAGTGCATAGAGAGTAGCAAGTGTGCATCCACCCTTCTCATTAGGCTTATCTTGGTCAAGTGAGAGCTTGTGCTTGTTACTCTTGGTGATCACCATCACCTAGATGGCTTGATGGTGATTGGGAACTTGGTGATCATTCGGCGGAGCTTGTGGATGGCCCAAGTCATGGTGTGAGCGGTTGTGGGCAATTCACCACGACGGAGTATCAAAAAATCAGCCCGTAGAGAGCACTTGATCCTTGCACGGATCAAGGGGGAGCTACACCCTTGCGGGGGTGCTCCAACGAGGACTAGTGGGGAGTGGCGACTCTCCGATACCTCAGAAAAACATCGACGCATTCCTCTTTATCTCTTTACTTTGAGCATTTACATTTGAGCAATTTAATCCATGTCTCTATGTTCATAGAATTGCCATGCTAAAGTAGGATTGGAATCTAGGGTGCAAATCTCTTGTACGATAGAACAATAGAAACACTTCTATGCAAAGGGGGTGAAATGGGCTAAGTGTAGGGCTTAATTATTGCAAGAAATTTAGAATTAGCCCAATTCACCCCCCTCTTGGGCATCTTGATCATTTCAACAACAATACAAGTCAAAGCCTAAGCCAAAGAGATGCTTTGAGTGTGGACAAGAAGGTCACTTTGCTCATGAGTGTGAAACTCCACCACCACAACCCTTGCCCAAGCATGCTAGACCCTTTGCCTTCAATGCTCACTACATGCTTAGAAAAGATTCTAGTGGAAAGATGAAAGTCATATTCTTAGGTCCACCTAACAAGAATAGTCCTAAGCAAATTTGGGTTGCTAAGTCACTAGTTGAAAAAGTCAAGGGCCCTCATCAAGTTTGGGTCCCTAAACAACAAGCTTGATCTCTTGTATGTGTAGGTGAACTACAAGATTGGTGGAAGTCATTGGGTTATTGATAGTGATTGTACTCAACATATGACCGGTGATCCTCGTATGTTCACCTCACTAGATGAAGAAGTAGATGGTCAAGAAAGGATTACATTTGGTGACAATTCAAATGGCAAAGTACAAGGGTTGGGCAAAGTTGTAATATTAAATAATCACTCAATATCAAATGTGCTATATGTTACTTCATTGAGTTTCAACTTGCTATCTGTTGGTCAATTGTGTGATCTTGGCTTTCAATGTTTATTTACCGAGAAGGAAGTGGTTGTGCCAAAGAAAGATGATGATCAAGTTATATTCAAGGGCTTTAGATACAACAACCTATATCTAGTGAATTTCACCTCCGAAAATGCAAACTTGAAGACATGCTTATTCAGCAAAACATCACTTGGGTGGCTTTGGCATAGAAGACTTGCACATGTTGGGATGAGTTCACTCAAGAAGTTAATGAAAAATGAGTTGGTGAGAGGTTTGAAGGATGTGAAATTTGAGATGGATAAGCTTTATAGTGCATGTCAAGCCGGTAAGGAAGTTGCAAACACTCATCCAACCAAAACTTACATGTCAACAATAAGAGTGCTAGAGCTTCTCCACATGGATCTATTTGGGCCAATAACTTACAAGAGTTTGGAAGGCAACCTCTATTATCTTGTGATAGTTGATGACTACTCTAGATACACTTGGGTGTTCTTTCTTCATGATAAGACCGAAGTGGCCGCATGTTTCAAGAAGTTTGCAAGGAGAGCACAAAATGATTTTGAAGTGAAGCTCAAGAAGATAAGAGGCGACAATGGGAAAGAATTTGACAACACAAACATTGAAGCATATTGTGATGAAGTTGGGGTCAAACATGAGGTCTCTGCAACACAAACATTGAAGTTGGATTTTTTTATGTAGGAAAAAATGGTTTTTTTACCGGGCCGTGGGGCGGGCTGTTGGTCCTTCACGCGCTCTTCCTTACGAGTCCACGGTCCACGCCGTGGAGTAGCCGAGTCAGCATCAAGTTGCATCGGATCAGATGAAAGTCAAAATAGGAAAGGACACCTGAAGTCCTAAAACTTTGGAGCATACTATAAACTCCTCCAAATCTGAATTCTCCCGGAGTAGCCCCTAACCCTGTTCGAGAGATTGCCGTCCTCGGAAATCCGATCCAAGGTTGTCACCATGCCGTCGTTCGGTCCTTGGGCGGACATTCCCCCAGAGCTCCTCGCCCTCGTCGGCGATGGCCACCACCTGCTAGAATTCTACTGTTGTGCCCACGGCGTCTGCACGGCGTGGCGCGCCGCCCTCCTGCCTCCAATCCCTTCGCTCGTCACCGTCACCATCCCACCACCCGGTGCTTCTTCCCTCTACCGGCACTTCCCGGAGGTGTTCACCCTGTTCCTGCCGGCGGAGCGCTTGTTCCCCCTCACCACGTTTCGACGTGGTAGCCTCTGCGTCAGCTCAAGCAACGGTTGGTTGGCAGTCGACACCCGCTGCTGCAACCTGGGGATCTACCTCGTGAGTCGTCTCTCCGGCGGCTAGGAGATCCGTCTCCTCCCAATGAGGAACGACAACAAGCCTGTGCCAAAGATTGTGTTCGCGCCAAACCCCAAGCCTGATGACTATGTTGCCATTGCTATCTGCGACCTACGTCGGCTAGCCTACACCAAGACAGGGGACATGAAGTGGATGATCCTTGACGTTGCCATTAGGGAGGGGGACAAGCTCATCGACGTGGCCTACGACACCGACGACGGCAAGGTCTACTGTGTCACCTTGTTGGGAGACGTGCATGTGCTCCACATCCCCCAGCGATAGCGACGGAGGCCCATCGTTGAACCGTTGCTGGCTGAGTGCGTCGGCCTCCCGTTCAACCCCGCCGCCGCCTACGCCCCGCCATACGACACGGCGTCCAAGTTCACAAGCGTCAAGCATGTCTTCTTCTTCGGCGGTAACTTGTACCAAGTGTGGCGGAACGCCACCAGCGCCTGCTCTTGGCTGACGCCGGACAGTGGCCGGTTCGTCATGTCGAAAGACCACATCTTCGTCCTCAAGTACAACCCTGAGCGCCGGCCATGCTGGGACGCAGTGACGGACCTGGGAGGCTACTCGGTGTTCATCGGCAAGAACCATCCTATGGTGCTGCAGCCAAAGAATGCGCCAAGCGTGACGGCCAACTGCGTGTACTGGATCAACGAGCAATCGAGGAATGAACCCATGGTGTTCGACATGGTCACCGGGACCTCGACACTTCACCCTTCCGCCGCCAAAGCACTGTCTCCCTTGTGCAAACTAGTTTGCTGCTGGTACTTCTTGGATGACAAGATCACAGAGGTCCAAGACTATGGAAGAAAACGACGTCTAATAAGTATAGATCATTGCGAGAAGGTCTCCAAGAGTAGTCGGAAGGCTCACTAGGGCTGGGTCTCGTACGTAGAATTATCGTGCATTAGGAAACGTTTCGTCTCCTTCCGATGTTTATAGAGCACCTTGGCTAGGTGATTGTGAGGGACGAGTTAAATTGCAGTCTCTATCCTACTGCATTTTTTCCTCTAAAGAGAACCATCTGCAGACCCACAATTTTTTACTAATTCACTATGTTAGATCTAATAATCATCGTCGGGTCGGAAGCCCCATCAGTGCCAAAATTCATGCTAAGGGAGGTTAATCGGCAGTGACAGGGGTGACCTACCACTGCTGGATCGGCGACTTGGCAATGATAATGGTACAACAACCGGTAGTGATATTTACGGATATCATTGTTGGGTTGGCTTATCAACCAGCAATGATATTTTCAGTATCGCTGTCGGGTTGACACTTGAGCCGGCACTGAAACTTAATATATCACTGTTTTGGCGCGTGCTTGAACCCGGTTGTGTTGTGCATGACATCAGTGTCGGCTCAGCACCACACCCGACAGTGAATTTGTGACTGCCACTACCGGCTGAGCACCACACCTGGCAGTGAGTAATGCTCCAGATACACCAGATATATAGCGCAGCAGAACACAGTTACAGTGGACCAGAGAAGTTACACAGAACACCTCAAATATCCATAATGTATACATATACATACACAAGTTGTCTAGAATAACAAATAAAGTACTACGAATTTGTTCTCGTCTCCGTATAAACTGTAAAACTCATATCTCTCCTGAAACACCTTGTCCATAAGGAACCCAATAAGTTGTTCTTGTATTATATTTCACATATCTCGAACTCTAGCAACAGATGGTCGTGTTGCTCTTCTCTCTGTCATTGAATCAAAAAGGTATTAATAAGATGCACAATTAACATATGCCAGAATAACAGAAGTGTGTTGATCCTGCAGGCAACACGCATAACCAAACAACCGGTCCAAACAAAAAAGAGACCTCACACTGTCTCCAATAGGTGACCCATATGGGCCTGAACTGCCTCTTGTTTAAAAAAAAACTCGACCTGCGGGGGTTATGACGGCCCCCCCTGGTTTTTTTTGCTAAGAAGAAGATCTTCTCACACAGATCGAGAAAACCCCAGAACCCCCGTCCACATCCTGACGCAGCGGTATCCTTGGCCAGTGAGAAGGCGTCTGCCGGACCTTGGCCGTGCGGCACTCAAGGCGCACACACACGGATCCACAGGCCGGACCAGACCCTGGGCCGGACCATTACTGCGCTTTGGCACATGTGACGGGCGAGGGGATTTTTTTAACCTCAGCCTGAAATTCGCTCCCACGGGAAGTCGAACTTAGGATCTGAGGAGTGCCGCCGAGAAGCCTAACCGATTGAGCTAGGCACCCTTTGGCAACTGCCTCTTGTTTATTATACCACATTTACTTTAAACCTATTGTTGTGTTTATGTAAAATCAATAATTACCATTTTGTAATTTTTTTTCCTATAACGTCAATAGACTTTGATTTATTCTAGTATATATTTCTTAATGACCAGAGACTTGATATAAACAAGGATGAAATTGTACCCTGAATTTAATATAGTTCCTTCCCCTTTTTTGAAAAAAAGTACCAAAATGCTAGTAAATGCTTTGGTGTCCCAATTTCATGCTTTCCGGGCTTCTCCTCGCTATGGGCCTCTATTGGGTCTCACTGTCTCGCGGACTAGTCCAGCCAGTGCGGTGTTCGTTCTCCATCGACCTCCCATAGCTAATCACAAAAAGCATCGTGCTTCCTCAATTCCTCTCGTCCCCGCCCTCGTCACCTTAAGAACAGCCTACGCCAGATGCCATTGGACCTTCCTCGCTGCTAAGAGCAACTCCAAGAGTTTTCAAGACCCACTTCCAATCTTTTTTTGGTAAGATTAAAAAAATTGCTTTCCAACAAGTCTCTATCTCAATTCCCAAACTTTAGGAAAACCAACCAAATCGCGCGCATATCCTTGGCCAATCCGAAGCTGAAAGGACGTGAGAAAGAATAAGGAGCAGGACAAGGTTCATGATGCAAATATACAAAGAGAAGT